CCCAGCAAATCAGGAGGATGAGGCAGGAAGAGTGCAAGTTCGAGTACTACCTCCGCGACTCAGTGAGACTCTCAGCAACTTAATGAGATCCTGTCTCAAAATTTAAAAAAATAAAATAAAGATCTGGGGATTTATCTGAGGATAAAGTGCCACTGGGTTAAACCCCCAATACCAAAGGGAAAAAAAAGAATCAAAAAACTATAACAGAATGATACATAAAAACAAATAATTGAGTGCTTTTAGGCTACAAATCAGGAATTATAAATTCGAATACTCAGTCAAGTTTATTCAGATAGCCAAAACCTACTGAATATTTCTGTACCTCAGAAAAATACTTTGATCTTGGCCTAAGAAAGCAATACAGATAAAACTCTCTACCTTCATGGATTTTATATATTAATAGAAGAGAAATAATTAAATATACATGTAATAAATATGCAAAATACATAGTATACTAGTAAAAGAAGAAAAAACAGGTTCAAGACTGAGAGTACAGAGGCAGGGTGAGGATTATTTCAAACCTGAAAATTTAAATAGGTTGAGATAGGCTTTGTTGAAAAAATAATATCTTAGCAAATGGATAAAAGATGAAGAAATTGCCTGTGTGTAGACGTCTAAGAAAAAACATCCTGAGTAAGGAAAGCAGCCAAAACACAGGTAATGAAACAGAAGTAGGCCTAGTGCATTTAAGAAAAAGGGTGGCCAGTATGGTTAGGAAAAAGTAATGGAGGGAGCAAATTCAAAGACATGAGAGTAGAGATCAGATCATGTGTTCCTGTAGACCAATATACAGAAGTTGGCTCTTACCATTGGTCAAACCAGAACTTATTAAGATTTTTAGACAAAGAAGTTACCTTCTTTTTTAAAAAATAAACTTTATTTGGGGATCATTCTGAATTTACAGCAAAGTTACAGACTTCCCATGTACCTCTCATCCAATTTCCCTAATTGTACCTGCTTATATTACCATGGTAAATAAATCAAAACTAGAAAACACTGATACATTGCTATTAACTATACTCCAGACTTTATTTGGATTTCAAGAGTTTTTTCATTAATGTTCTTTTTCTGTTAATCTAGGGTAACACATTATCTTTAGAGTCCTATACCTTAACGCAATTTTTAACATATGTAAAAAGTATCATTCTGGCTAGTCTATGAGAATAACCTGTATGACTGAATAAAGCAGCATTACTATAACCCAAGAAAGAAATGTTAGTTGCTAATGACAGAAGTTCAAGCTCAAGATGATCAGGGCACTAATGACTGCAATAGTAGTAAACTGTTGAATTCATGATATATTTTGTAAAGGAAGCCAAAAAATTTGCAGATGGAATTTGATAGAATATAAAAGAAAGGCGTCAAGGATAACTTCAGAGCAACTGATTGTATAGGCATGTCATCAACTGAAGTCAGAAAGAGGACAAATTTGGAGAGAAGAGTTCATCTGGGACATCTAAAATCTTATAAATATACAAATGGTGATGCAGAGGTAGACAACTGGACTGGATATACAATTCTAGAGTTCAGAAAGAGAAGAAACTAAGGATATGAATATGGAAACCTCGGATAAACAGATGATTAAGTCAAAAGACTTGATATCATTATCACAAGGAAGGAAAGAGGAAAAGAAAGGAACCAAAGATTGAGCTCCAGAATACTTCAACATAAAATGTCTGGACAAATAGAAAATTCAGCATAGCAGACAGAAAGAGCAACCAGAGAGGTAGGAAAAAAAAAAAAGAAAGAAATATGGTCCTAGAAATCAATCAAAGTAAGCATATCATGGAGGAGCAATAAACTGTGTCCAAAGTTACTGACAAGTCAATTATAGTGATGACCGAAAATGACCAACACCCAGATCACTGGTGACACTAATAAGAGAATCTTGTGGCAGCATAGAAGAAATAGCCATGTAAGAGTGAGCTTTAAGAAAAGAAAAGAAAAAGAGAAATTGGGACATGGAGCATAAAGAGCGCTTTCAAGAATTTTTGTTATAGAAAAGATCAAACAAATGTGTAGAAAATAGAAAGATAATAAAAGAAGCATATCTTCCGCTTCACCCTTCTTATTACTAGGAATTGAACCCAGGGCTTCCTGCATATCAGGCAAGTGCTCCAGCACTAAGCTACATACCTATCTTTTTTTTCTATTTAATTTTGAGATAGGGTATTGCTAAGCAACTTGGGATCCTCCTGCCTTAACCTCCAACTAGCCTGAACTACAATTGTACCTCAGCAAGACTTGCAAGGCAAAAACAGCATTTCTTTTTGTTTAATTATTTTTTCTAGTTGTAGATGGACACAATATCTTTGTTTTTATTTATTTATTTATTTTTAATGTGGTGCTGAGGATTGAATTCAGTGACTCACGGATGCAAGGCAAGCACTGAACCACTGAGCTACAACCCCAGCCCCTCCCAAAAAAAAGCATTTCTTAAGGTTAAAAAAAAAAAAAATGAGTTCAGAAAAAAACAAAACTTTTATAGGCATTTTTACAGGTGGTAATCCAAGAGCCATGGGGGGAAAGGATGAAAAGGGGTTGTGGGACTCAAAGACAAATACTCCAACACAAAGAACCTCAACTTAGGCTATGGGGTCTACTGGAGGATCAGAGAAAGCAAACAAATCACTGTCACTTAATATATGTGAATATTAAGAAAAAAAAAAGATAACTAATGTAAAAGGAAAGTATTAACACTACTATTAATACAAGATACAAGGACTGTGATTATGGTTCATTGTTAGAACACTCACCTAGCATGTGTGAGATACTGGATTTGAACCTCAGCATCACATAAATAAATAATTAAATAAAGGTACTGTGTCTATCTATGACTAAAAATATTTTTAAAAATACAAGATACAAAATAAAAAGAAAATAGGTTAACAAAGTGGTCTAGTGGTATAAAAGCTATAATAATTTAATTCAAAGCCCTTTTATTATGTGCCTAACATAATAATAATGCAAATCAATCATCTTCCAAACTTATTCCTCAATTCAGGGGGCTTTTATTTCTGTCAAGAATTAAGCCACTCACACAATAATAACTAACACTTAGGCCTGGGCATGGAGCTCAGAGGTAGAGAGCTTCCCTAGCATGGGCAAGATCCAGAGTTCCAACCTCAGTAGTATAAAAATAATAAATAAAAGGATAACCAAAATGTCCTGTGTGTTTACTGTTTGACAAATGTTTGGCTAGATTATTTCATTTGTATTAACTCATTTAATCCTCACAACTCTGAGGAAGCATGTGACCATCTCCATAGAAAAATAAAAATATATACTATTTTTACATACAATCCTGGGGAAACCATGAAACCAAAGTTGAATATACTCTTCGAGATGCAGGAGAGAGGATTTTTGAGCAGGGGAATGACAAAGTCAAATTTTCTTCGTAGTAAGAAAATGATCCAAGATGATTTGAAAATAGAATCCATAGCAGTACTACCAAAAAGATTAGTTTGGGGCAACTGATACAAGCTAGTACTTAAAATAATTTTCAATAATGGAAACCAAAAGCAGGGTGTCGATTAACTTAATGATCATGCAGCTCAATTCCCACCTCCCAAAAGATATCCTCACATCAGATTAACTTTGTCGTATTCTTACATGAATACGATAAACATACACATGATCAGTTTCATCCATTGGCAATTCTGATCCTCTGTGGATAACTGGAAAATGATGTTCTCTATTATTTTGAAGCTGAGGTACATAAGAATCTATTGCCTAAAATTAATAGTAACCCATAAATATAACAAATCAATTGCAATCTCCAACAACTTCAGCTTCCTGGGGCTCTTTACAGGAAGCCTGAAGCATATAGCTTCATACAGAATTATCACTCTGAAGTGCCAAATGATCAAGATGATCATCTTCACATGAAAGCAAAAGCAGTTATAACATCTACAGACACATTTACTATTCTGGAAACCAAACTTGATCAGCTGCACAACATAATTTCCATAAATAAACTAACTTTGTTTAGTTTGAATGGTAAGTCATAATATAAGGCAATTCCAAGTGCAAGCATTAAGACTTGCTTTTTTAAAAAATATGTTTAGTTGTAGGAAGACACCATACCTTTAGTTTATTAATTTATTTTTATGTGGTGCTGAAGATGAACCCAGTGCCTCACACATGCTAGGCAAGCACTCTATCACTGAGCCACAATCCTAGCCCCAAGACTTGCTTTTGATTAGTGGAAGGTACCATGTATTTTTATAATTTCTTATTCCCATCTTCAACATCCCCAGTAAATTCTTTAAAGGAACAGACCATCTTTATTTTTCTGCTGCAATCTCATGGTACTATGAACAAAGAAGATATTCAGTAAATGTCTATTAATTTGAATATTTTACCAATTCTTTTGACTATTCCGTATAATGGATTTTAAGATCAAATTAGTCGTGGTTTAAATCCCCCCCCCTCAAAAAAACCCTTTGTGTATAGTAGCAAACAATAGTTATCAAAGAAGTAATCACATACAACAAAAAGGCAAATCTTCTAAACACGGTGTTGCCCTAAATACTAAAGAATCTTTTTATAGTTTGGCTGAATACTGTTCATTAATCAACACCTCAGGAGCTTCTTTACTCTTCATATTCACCGAGTACACAAAGAATTGATAACATTCTGAAAAGACCCCTATGGTGTCTAAAAAAAAATTAACCACGCATTTGGAAACTAAGAATTGCAATAATTTTCTGATACACTAAGGGGATAAAGAGTGGAAAAACTCTGCCCCTCTGACTTCTGAAAAATTCCAAGAACAATGTAAACTTGAACATATCAAAGTACCTGCTTCTCCATCTATAAAACACAGAAAACAAATGTGGGCAAAATAAAGCCTCATCTAATGGAATTATCAAAATCTGAGGAAACTCATTAACACCATTATTGATAAAAACAAAGTTGATATGTAATTTATTTTGCTGGTTTACCATTTCTCTACAATACCTATTAATTACTGCACTCAGAAAAGTGCAATTCCTTACCAAGGTTATTCCAGAAAAGTTCTTTCCGAAGAACATTTAGGACCTACTGACAGTCTACAAAAAAAAAAAAAAAAAAAGAGGTTTGGAAACAAAAAAGGCAAGTGTTGGGGAAAATATAAACCTACTGAAAACAATCATCCGAATTCAAGTGCCCCCCTCATCCCACAACTAATACAGAGCATTTCAAAAGCACATTGCATTTCTAAAAATCACTCAGAGAAAAAGGGAAAAAATTAAAAGGGGACTCCAGTGCGGCAAGCCTTGTAGATGAGGCCTGGAGCCCTGGGATCCCCCAAAACCCACAAGCATTAGGTACAGGAGCTCACACAATGAAGAAGATTCGAGGAGGGGAAGGTTAGCGCAGTGTGTACTTTTAGAGGTAAATGTAAGAGAATTTTTAAAAATTAAAGAAAAAAGTAGGAAAGAAAAAAAGGTAAACAGAACAGAATATTACTTATTATTCAAAAGACCGCGGCCACTTCCGGACGCTAGCTCTGAGTGACTCCACTTCCGGTCTTCTAAGAAACGCCGGCTCCCACTGATAAGCCCCACAGCCAATGAGAGTCTCAGCTACTTCCGCAGCGCCTCATGATGTATCTAAGTCCCGCCTTTTCCGGTTAGGAGCAGCCTATCCTAGCGTCGGTCTCGAGAAGTTGCGGAGGAGGTGCCGTGATAGGCCCAACCGGACTGCTGAAGAGATCAAGAAGGGCATGTGGGGCGTGCACGCCTCTTCCGCCTTGGGCCCGGAAGGGTGATGTGGCTGGGGCATCGCTGGCCTCACTATGGTAAGAATCGGGGCTACCGGGTTGCGACTTAGCTTCGAGCAGGGTCTGTTCCTCGCACTAGGGCAGCGGGTTTGTGCGGGCGCCCTGGGTGCACGAGCCAAAGTGTTCTGTCACTAACTTGATTTTCCCGGGTCTCGGAGGGTGCACAGGCCACGGAGCCATGTGCCCCTGCACGTCCAACCAGGGAGAATCCGGGCTGACCTTCCAAAGAGGACCCCGTAGTCTCGGATCCCAGCCCTTCTAGCTGAGGCTCGCCCTTCCTTGTTAAGGGAGAATGCGCTGTTTTGACTTAACCGGTCGGTTATATAGGTTATCTGTGGACATTGACTCTTTGGAATTTTAGAGCTTCTCTATCATCTGCTTCTTTTTTTTTTTTTTTTTTTTAATTCATTTTTGTGTTTCCTTAGCTCTCCCTACGTGCTTGACCCGGGTTTTATTTGTTCTTTTGTTTGTTTGTTTGTTTTTTCTACATCAGACTCAACATCTTTAATTTCACCTGTTGAATCAGTGGCCTTTTGTACCCTTTCCAAATTATTTTCCGCAATCCTAAAGATGCTTCATTCCAAACTGTAGGTTTTAATAATTGAAGTTCAGAGCAAAAGTTGGTTTCTCGTCTAATAGCTTAATGTACTTCTCATAGTTATGTTTGACCTCAGCTTCCATCCCTGCCTGCATTACTTTCTTAAATGTATTTTATTTTATTTTGTTTTATTGTAGATTCCTTTGGTAATTTAGGTCTCATAGAAAAGTGTTGATATTAAGTAAGGATAATCGCAAAAGATATTTGCAAAGGAAAGAAGTAAAGCCAGGGCCACCAGGAGATGGATGTAATGTAAATCTCTGAAGCTATATCTGAAAGCATTTTACTTTTGTTATGGTAAATGCCAGCAGCCTTCCACAAAGCCCTCATGGTGAAGTTATGAAATCAGTGTGCCAAATATAGCCTTTATGAGCATGCCAATCCGATATATGCCTGTTTTTATAGAGTCAAAAGCAACCATGACCCTTCCAAAAGCTAAGAATTTCCATGGCAAAATATTACTGAGTTTGTGTTCTTAGAAGTTTCTGCAGAATCCCATATACCACACAAATCTCAGACTTATAGTTGAAAAATAATTATTAATGTCACCTACATTCTGCTGGCAAGTTTGAATATAATTAGGTATAAGTCAAATTTCTCTATTAAAGGAGATAAGTTTATTAGTACATTAATCCTTCTCTGAGTATGGATTTTATTTTCTCTTTCAGCTTCTTTTCCCACCTGTTACAATATACAATACATTTGCTTTTCGGGGTATCATTTAACTTATTTAATTTAGCAAAAACTGTGTTCATTTTTCAATTTAAAAGAATTAGGAAGACTCATTCTTGCATATCTTCCTAGAAGCTGAAATTGAATTGTTTTACTCATAATACAAGACAAAGATACATCCTTCTTTTCAATATCTATCAATACACCAGCTAAAAGCAAGATATAGTTTTAAGATCAGCAGTAAACTATGTTACTGTGCTTCCTTTTCCAAAAATAACAATAATAGCTTTCATTCATTAGTACTTACAATGTACTAGGTTCTATTCAAAAAAATAATTTATATGCATTGTTTTATTTTACGCTCACAACTTCTGAGTAGATGTTTGTGGATAAAGGAAATGAGGTGTAAGAAAGTACCTGGAATCATGCACCTAGCAAATAGTGAAGTCAGAACCCAAACATTTTAATATGTAAGTGCTGGAAATCTTCATGCTATGAATAGAAACAATAGAATTGTGGGTAAAATAAGTCTAGTGATTTGTTGCTCTCAAACATACAATTGTCCCTTATCACCCATGGGAGATTGATTCTAGGACCCTCCCAAGTATACTAAAATCTCAGATACTCACCCCCCTATATAAAATGGTATATTTGCATACAGTATAGACACATCCTCCCATGTACTTTAAATTCTCTGTGTATTACTTTTAGTACCCAATACGATAAATGCTGGGTAAATAGTTGTTATACTGTATTGTTTAGGGAATGATGACAAGAAACATGTTCAGTACAGATGTGCAATTTTTTCCCAGTATTTTCAGTCTATGCTTGGTTGAATCCATAGATTTTGAACCCACAGATACAGAGGACCAACTATAGGTATTCTTATATGTGTAGAATGGCTGTGAAAGGATACACAGGTAACTGGTAATATTGAAGAGGAACTTGAACTGAGACAGGGATAACCTGCTGGATATTCCCTTAAACTGTTAAAATTTAAAACAAAAAACTCATACAAAGATTTTAATTCTTTTAAGAAAAAAGAAGCTTGTGCAGTTTTATATTAAAAGTACTACTGGCCATATTTTATAAATGAAAAAAGAAATAGATAAAAATGTTAAGTCTCTTGTCTAAGATCACAGCACATATAAATAGTGAAGCTAAGATTTAAACTTAATGACTCCTTTTGTCACCAAACCTGTGCTGTGTGTACTACAAAATAATGCCATAAATTCTGCTAAAAATTTAAAAGAAAAAGCAAGGTTTGAATAGGGTGGGGGGATTAAGGTAATAATTCTGTTGCCACTATTCCTTTTGCATCATCTATCAATGTGGCATCACAGTAGAAAGGCAAATGTCTTCATGTATTATTAAAATAGTTTTGACCTCATAAACCCTTGAAAGAGTTATATGAACTTCACTGTGAGAACCACAGCATTAGACTAATAGAAATCTGATGGAATGTAAGTCCTCTTACCAAAGTGCTTTTAACTTTGCAAGTAAAAACTTTCTGGGAGTTTTGAGAAACAACAGATTCCAGACCAGATAAGAACATATTTCGGGACATTGTTTTTAAAAGCCCTAGATGATTATGATGAGCAGCCAGGGTTTATACCATGTCTGACCTCCAGTTTTCAGAAGCATTACCATTTTATCAGTCTTTGTCTTTTCTGATTGCATGGTCAAATGGTCCCTTATAGCATGATTTACTCTTGGTCCTTCAGAATAACCTTTGGTCACATCATTTTATCAGACTCATATGAAGCATTTATTCATTCTTTTTCACTCTGTTCTTCATAGTTTTGCATATTTCTTTTCTTAAAAATTTTTGACATCCTCATAGTCTTATATTTAAATCTGAGTTGTATATAAAATACCTTCAAAACTGAGCAGCACAAATGGTAAAGTCACTGTAGATATCTTTCAATGAAGATAACTATAAATGGCCACAGGTTTTGCTGGTGGAGAACAGTTGAGGTATATCTACAACAGACTGCAGCTTTACTCATAACCATGGGAGGTTTTTAAGTATACTCCTAAATAGAGGAGAGAAGGGTATAGCTTTTTGAAACAAGACTGGCAAGGTCAAATGAACATTTAACCCATCACCCTCACTTTACAAATGAAACGGATAAGTAAAAATGTAAATTTGTCCAAGGACAAATTTTATATATTAAATAATGCAAATGTTTAGTAGCCACTGGTGCTAAGGAAATGGGTTATGTACATTCATTTGAGGCTAATGTTTATCCTGCATTTTCCTGTTTTCCATTTTAAGAGACAGTAGTGGCATATATGAGTTTACAAGTAGAAACTAATTGGAAAATGCTAACCTGACCTATATTTGTAAATGATAAATACTGACCCACTTTTCCAGTAGTGTATAATTTTTATCATAATTAGGTCACGAATGTCATTTCTTTGTTCCTCTGTACCACCAGAGAGGAATAAACTAGTTTGAAAAAAAATAAGTAGATATTAATAAAAGTTTCTAAATTCTGTGTTTAGTATTCAATGTTTGTTTTAAAAGGTCTTGATTTATGCCAGAGGAATTATGTCAGTAAAACTTATTTCTGGGCTGGGGTTGTGGCTCAGTGGTAGAGTGCTCACCTAGCATGCATGAGGCCCTGGGTTCAATCCTCAGCACCACATAAAAATAAAGATATGTGTCCATCTGAAACTAAGAAATAAATATTTTTTAAAAACTTATTTCCAGCATAGGAAACAGTCAACATAATTCTAAAGTTAAATACACTACATTGAGCCAAAGTGATTGAATACTAATGAAAATACTATAGGTTCGAAGTTCTTTCTGTAGATTAAGTATGGTTAATAGCCAATCATTGAGCATTGCCTAAGTAAAGCATGTTTAGCATACTGATGTGTATAGTTTTGCTTTTCTCATGGGGTATTTTTGTACCTTTGTATTGATTGGCTCTTTCCCCATTAAAATTTTTTTTAACAAATCTCCTATATAGAATTTTCATTCTTACATTTAAACTCAATGAATATAATTTTAGCATTCAAGAATGACTCAAGAAATTTTATCTTAATAGATAAAATATGATAACAAATTGAATCTGAAGAAGATATTCCTAATTTTTAAATGGACTTAAGAATATAGAATTGTAAAAGGTTTAGCAACATTGCAAGTAATTTCATGTTCAATACATTAGTGTTGCATTAAGCAGTGTCCATCTATTCATTAATAAATTATTGCATATAATGATAAGATAAGCAATGAAAAATCTTAATTATTGTATTTCTTTCAAAATACCTTACTAATTATTTATTTCATAATGCTTATACAAAGTAATTGGGTCAACAAGTTTATTTTTTCTGGTTTGGATAAATTAACTTGGTGCCATAGCACTAATTACTTTAAAGCTTATCAGAAGTTCTGATTAGTTATAAGCAGGAGGATAGCTCTGCAATACAGAGTAATAATAGAAGAGATTTGGAAGAAAAATTGAGGACCTACTATGCCATTTTAGAAGAATCAGCACAAGACAAGGCAGGGTAGGTACAATTCACAACCTCAAGGGTTACTATTCTGATTTTATTGGAAATTGTATACCAGAAGGTGCCATATGCAGCACAATTTCAAGGAAATGTCATTGATATCCTTTATAGAAAAGAAATATTTATAGGTATAGTACACAGAATGTCTCCCCACCCCAAACCAATGAATGTTATCATACATCGCAAGAGTGACTTTGCCTATATGATTTAAGTTCAGAATTTTGAT